GAGAGAGAGAGAGAGAGAGAGAGGGAGAGAGAGATGCACACGAAGAGTGACTCGGCCATGACGAGCCTGGCGGCGTCGTCCCCTCCGCAGTCGCCTTCACTCTACACGATGAGCCCCACCCACTCCCACCACGACGCCGACGGGGTTTCCATCATCGGATCCTCCCCTGGCGCATCCCCTTTGCACCCCAACTACCACCACCACCGCTACGCTAGCTCCCCTATCCAACATTTCCGCGATTCCTCCGCCTCCCTCAAGTACGCCTCCTCTTGGCGCAAGATCCACAACCACCATCAGCACGCACACTATCACCACGGCGCCGCCTCCTCCGATTGCTCCGAGTCAGATGACGACGACGACGACGATGACGGAGACGGCGGCGTCGGCGGAGGCGGAGACCCCGTACCGGTTCACTGCTACGCGGCCTGGTTCGCCCTGGGATCCATCCTCCTCTTTACCCTCTTCTCCCTCGGACTCTGGGGCGCCAGCAAGTCCTACAAGCCCGCGGTTTTCGTCAAGGTCCGAACCAGCCCGAGTCAATCCCTAGTCGCATCGGAACACTTCTCCCCGTCACTACACACTGTCTTCTTCTCCGTTTTGCAGGGCGTGGTGTTCCAGAGCTACCATCTCCAAGCGGGAACGGACGTCACCGGGGTGTCCACCAAGATGCTCTCCATCAACTCGACGGTCAGCATTGCGTTTCGTAATCCGGCCACGTTCTTTAGCGTCCACACGTCATCCACGCCCCTGGTGATGTACTATTCGGAGCTCAAGATCGCCTCCGGATACGTAAGCTTTTCCTGATACCGTATCACCCATCCTCTCTTTTAGTATTGCTTGTTTATAAATATATAAATATATATATATATATACGATTTTCTAAAAATATTTTTTTGGATATTTCCCAAACATTTTTTTCAAATCATACATCATAATTTAAAAAATATCCAAATTACCCCTCCTTGAATTGGCATGTGTCATCTCTACCATCGCCCTTGCATCATACACCGCCTCCTCTCCCCTTTGTCTTGTTGATATCGTCGCCAACAGTCCTCACATGAGGAAGGAGGAGATATGAGAACCATTGGTGGCCTTATATTTTGTTGTTGCCCTTTGCCTCATCAGAGTCATCGTTCATTAACTCTCACACGAGGGAGGAGGGAGAGCGAGGGTTGTTGTCAACCATTTGCTCCACTATTGCTATCTGCCCCATTCGACTTATTGCTTGCAACCCTCACAGGAGAAAGTAGACGGTATGAGAGTCATCGTTGCATCCTACTTCCTCATGCAAGGGCTACATGATATCACAGATAAATCTATACAAAGGGTGTTCAATATAATATTTATGTATGCTCATATCTTTCAATTTTGTACATGTTTTATACAACATATAAAGAGCTTGTAATAGGTTTGACAACACTAATTTGGTTAGCTTTTGTGATTATTTTAGTCTTGTAAACATAAGTTATGTACAGTCATCGCAGACATGCAAAACTAGCCAAAATAAATTATCAAGGTAGTCATTTTGAAAGTTTTATAGGTCATAAAGTAGTATAAAGTACCAACTAATATAACACCCTAGAGTTATTCAGATGACATATAGTTGGATAAGCCATTAGGGTATTGTATATGGTTAGTTCGTTATCTTGTTTTATAATAATATTATGCAAGCACTTATGGAAACTTTTGACTATGATGGACTACCTTAGACCTTTTATCGTGCGATTGAACTTGAAAAATCTATATTTATAATTTGTATCGTGGGATGCCAAGTTAAACGTTTATATATATATATATATATATATATATATGTTATTAAGGGATTATTAGAGGTTTTAGAGTTCATAGTCCTTTGCAGATGGACACGTAAGGGTGTCATATGATTTAGGTAAAACTAGCTAAGTCTATGATATATGGTGTCATAATGGGATAGGTACACTGAAAAATACTTGTCATATAAACATAAGGAACTTAGTGAGGCTATGTTGGCTATACGATTGTTTGAGGAAAACCAATGTAAAAAAGACATAGAGAAAGGAGTTGCTCAAACAAGTGAGCATCCAAGATTAACATTTAGAAAAATAGCCAACCCTTTGATCTTTTGCACGAGAGACACCACAAGAACAAGTGAGTTGGGAAGAATCGGTAGTACATAAAGATTGGGATGGTTGAATTCAAGTTATGAATTGATATTGGCAATCAAACTTGATAGTGCTTAAAGCAATCGAGGGCGGTTACAAAGGATGAGACCACACAATGAGGGATAGATTGCTCGACAACTGAAAGGGTTATACAAAACTCACAAAGATGAGGAGAATTACTAACTCGAAGAATTCGATACTCATGTAAGAATTTGAATATGGACGATGAACTGTCCATGTTCATCTCAAGGCGATTAAAGCTCGATGCTATGGAGTATGAAAATTTTTCCTTCGGCATGGAAAGAATACATCTGTAGGAAGCTAAAGTGTATTGATAAGCCTTGAGGGGTGCAACATGGGTTATATTGGCGAAAAGTCATAATCTAGCAAGTGCATTCATGGTGGTGAAATAATGCATAGTTTGTTCGGTAAGGCAAAGTAGTCTAAGGAGATAGTAGTCTATAAAACTTTGAAAGGGAAGGATGTGAAGAAAAAAAAAACTTCAATGTGACATATATCCAAGAGGGATAATCTTTAGAGGTAGAATCATATACAATGGATTACACATATTGAGGGAGATACCTCAAATTGATAGTTTCATAAAGCTCAATGGATTATGTGAGTGATGAGAAATTGTCATATGATCTTATATGAGATAATGTGTTAGTGGATCTATTGTGAGATCAAGTGAATAAGCGACCCTTGGTAATACTAAATAAAGGCTGAGTCGATATGGAGATTAAACTTAATGAAGGGTTGACCCGTAGAATGATGGGTATGAAAATGACCATTAACTCAATATAAACAAAAGAGCAAAGCAACTTTGATTAAACTTGATGAAGTATGTAAGTTGGGAGTTGATATAAAAGATAGAATATATAGTTGAGACACAGTTTTTTTTTAAAACAAAAGTTTATGATATGAACTCTTGTAGAGGTTAAAGTAAAATTATATCATTCCATAAGTCTCTTATTCTAATAGAGTGGACTCATCTTACATAGTACCAAAGTCGAAGAGAGCTTCAAGGCACATGCATCTTTTCATTAATCAAGGGGAACTACTTTTAGAATACAAATATGTTAAAACATATGGTCAAAAGGGACGAGAAAATAACAATAAATAAAAAAAGACTTAGCTATCCAAAACTAAGTATTTGTTAGGATAGATATGGACGCAAAAGAGTACTATAGTACCGTAAAGATAGATCTATCAATTGTAAAGAAAGAAATGTAAATGCAAGGTGATGAACAATAGGGTCATATATATGGTAGCGTCATGGTACCATAGAGGCAGAACTTACATTAAGTCATTAATCCTTTACTCTTATAGAGGGTAAGTGCATACTCGTAAAAGGGGTCAAGAAGATAGAGAATATATATGCAACCTCTAAGCACTAAGATAAGGCAGAAGGACAAAGGTTATAAAACTTTATACTTTTGGTGTTGATGGGCTTCTCATCAAGATAGCTAAAAGTAGGAGACTTCGGGTCAATGAAAGAGTACTCGACTAAAGAACGAAGTGGGCAATACATGATGCTGTATCTTTTCTACTTGGAGGAGTAGATAATAAAAATGATAAAAAAGACAGTACAATCTTAGAGGTGACCAAAACTATCAAAAACTTACTCCGAATCGAGGTAAAATTTTACTTTTTTAAGATAAAACTTCTCATATTTTAGAAATTCGATTGTAATGTGGAGGCAAATTGTAATAACTAACTCAATGCAATGAGTGCATATATTTTAAGTGCTTTAGAAGTATGAGGAAATATTAAGTGAAGGCTATTAACTAGCTTAATACATAAAATATAACTCTTGAGAAGGTTAGTGAAGTCAAGTAATCTTTGTCTTCTAAACTCTTAAAAGAATAGGCAAAATCGAGTATCTCAGTTCTCTTATTTATCTAGTAGAAAAATTTTACATATATAAAATCAGCTAAACCTATGACATTATAATGAATTTAATGAGGTAAATAATAAAGGTGGACCAAAGGATCAATGACAGCTCACGCACCTCATCCTTCCTCGTGCAAAGGCTACAAATGATGGCTTTAGTGGAACAAAGGGTGATAATGAAGCAAAGGGCCACTAGCGACCCTCATGCCCTTTGTTATCTCACACGAGTGCTTTGGGTGGTGACTCTAGGGGAGCGAGGGCAATGTAGGACGTAGGGGCAACGATGAAAGTGACATAGAATGATTATGCAGGAAGGAAGAGCCGACGATGAGTTCTAAAGTATGATTTAAAATATTTGTAATATATATATATATATATATATATATATATATATATATATATTCTGACCGGTAGATTATTGGAGAGGATTCGTTGACGGAGCATTCTCTTGTGCATACAGATGGAGGAGTTCAATCTGTCCCGAAAGCGCGGGCGCGTGGTGGTCGTGGCGGTAGGCGGCAGACAGATGCCGCTCTATGGCGGGGGCTCGAGCCTGGAAAGCCAGGCCGAGGAAGGCGGCGCCCCCACGGTGGTGCCGCTGGAGCTATCCTTCACGGTCCGGTCACGGGCGCACCTCCTCGGTCACCTGGTCACGTCCGAGTTCCACCGCCATGTTCGGTGCTCCCTCGCCCTCCGCGAGGAACGCCTCGGCGAGCCCCTCGACCTCGCCGACGACTGCCAGTACGGTGACGGGTGAGGGCGGCAAGGATGGGGTGATTCGAATTGAACTGGTGGTGGCTAGTGATAAGCTTCCTCGATCAAAGGTTACTATTGCGGTGAGATTTCTTTTAGAGGACAGATGAGATACTTATCATCTTTTGGCATCAGTCTAATAGATTCAAAGCTTATTTGGTTTCACTGCTTGGTAGAACAGAGAACATTCTAAAGCTTGCAAACATACCACTTCGACATGCTTCGAACATGGTAGAACAGAGAACATGTACAGAATCCCTAACCCGATCACAGTAACTGACGCTATATGGATACTTGTAGATCTGACCGTAGATATGGTGGGGATCTAAGAGCGAGGAAGGCCCAGATCGAGCAGTAGTAACTAAGATTTATCTACAGCCGCTGTTGCTGCTTGGCCGGTGAGAGGACGACGGCTTCGACAACGAATGCCGACAGCAACCCAGCCTTAATTCTGAACACGCATAACCATTGACTACTTGCTTCATGAGAGAAGCCGATGCAACTACAGCCGCTGTTGCTGCTTGGCCGGTGAGAGGACGACGGCTTCGACAACGAATGCCGACAGCAACCCAGCCTTGACGCTGAACACGCATAACCATTGACTACTTGCTTCATGCGAGAAGCTGATGCAATAAGTGTGGATGTTATGGAGAATTAATAGCGATGACAGGAGAAGTTGTGCTTCAAACAGGACACCGGTGACCCACGCAGTAATGGCCGCTGTGTAGGTCTTGCAGAAGTTGATGTCGGCCGACGAAGCCAAGAAGAGATGCTAACTATAGACATAGCGTTCTATTTATAAGACTCTGCAACCCGACCTCTCAAAGGTCAGAGTCAATTCCCAGCACCGGTCCTCTCCACAGAAAAGGCCTTTGCACAGAATTCATGCCCCACTACGCACGCAACAGCACCGGCTTCTACGCAAACCATTGTCGATGATGCATCAAAAGCCATGCTTCGAAGAAAAATATGGAGCAAGCATTAAAATCATGCACCGTCTTTGTTCTTACCACTTTACTCGGCCGAATTCATTAGGCCGGCTGTCCTTTGGCCCTGTCTCGATCCTCTGCTATTACTCTGTGAACCCAAGCTCAGTGTATTTCTTTTATCAGCCCTGTTGCTTTCCCTGTTCTTCCCAACCCCAAACTACCCACATCCCCATTAAATTCCATGGTGAACTATTTTGACATTGTGTCTATGAATGTAGTAGCAGATGGGTTTGTGCAGGAGGCTGGTGGTGTTGTTGCCATTGATCTTTGTAGGCCACAGGGTTGGTCTTTGTGGTCTCCTTCTCTTTTATTCGTTTGTGCTGTTTAGACTTTAGAGGACGCTTGTCCGGTGTTTGTTTCCCTCCTGCCCAATATATCAGTTGAAGGAGGCTGTTTCCTTTCCCTTCCTTGATGCTCCATCTTGCTCCACACATGGGTGGTGACACTGTCTTCACGTTTTTTCTCCTCTTCCTGTTTATCTCTTATGCTACTGCTCGTGATAGGTGTGTGCATCAGTCCAAGGCGGCCTACTCCTCCTCTTCCGGCCTCTCTGGTATGTTCTGTCATTAACAGAGTCTCTGCTTCCGTAAACTGAAGAATGGTTTACATTTGATTGAATTCTTCTGTGATCCCATATATGTAGTTGGAGCTTGTGGGTATGGCTCCATGGCTTTGGGCTTCAATGGAGGTTATACCGCAGCTGGGAGCTCTACGCTTCACAGAGGGGGCGTTGGTTGTGGAGCATGCTTCCAGGTTAGAGACGAAGATCTGGATCAATACCACTCACTGATGTGGATTTAATGATCTTCTAATAGTAACATATGATCGAACTTTTCTATCACCATTCAGATAAGATGCAAGAACACAAGTGTTTGCGGCACAGAAGGGGTAAGCGTGATCCTGACGGACCTTAACAAGAGCAACCACACTGATTTCGTGCTCGGTGACCCTGCTTTCATGGCCATGGCACGAAATGGCAAGGAGCAAGAGCTCAAGAAACTTGGCATTCTGGATGTGGAATACAAGAGGTACAAGAAAACAATCTGGACCTACCTTTCTTCCCTCTTGTTGCCCAATGACAGCTTTCTAAACAGATCATTCCCCGCCCTGCCATAAATTCTAGCAACTGCACACAGAGAGTCATGGGCAAGTTGTCATCTTCACATCTCACCATGTAGTAACCCACTGCATCACTTTTCATGATCGAGCAGGATCCCTTGCGAATATAAGAACCGGAACCTATCTGTCAGAGTGGAAGAGAGTAGCAGAAGCCCCAGTCACCTGGCCATCAAGTTCCTGTACCAGGGAGGTCAGACTGACATGGTAGCAGTTGATGTAGCTCAGGTACTGAACCACAACAGATTCGGCTTCTCTTCGTTGCAATTCATGATTGTTCACGTACAATCATATTGACAGAAGTCTCGTATTTACTATTGCGATGCATTGTTCTAAACGGCAGGTCGGGTCACCGAATTGGCGGTTCATGCGCCGGGATTATGGGCCAGTCTGGAGCATCAGCCGGGCGCCGGTTGGGCCACTGCAATTGCGGATGGTGGTGACCGGCGGCTACGGCGGCAGGTGGGTGTGGGCTCAGAAGGCGGTCCTGCCGGCGGAGTGGACAACCGGTTCAGTCTACGACTTGGGTGTTCAGATCACTGACATTGCCCGGGAGGGCTGTCGCATCGAAGAATAGAACACAGGAATTCTTCATCCTGTACTTGTTGTCTCTGAAGCAGAAATGAGGGGGATTGGAATCCTTGTTCATATACTCGTCTCTGAATAGAACACAAGAATTCTTCATCCTATACTTGTCAACCTAGTTGGTAATTGGAATCCTTGTTCCTTTGTACAGGTTCATGTGCTTGATGTCAAGATACAAACAAAGTGCCAAGATTCCTCATAAGAAAACCTGGTTGGAAAATGACTTCCCACCTGCTGGTCTCTCTTGGATTATACTTTGTAGTCAACATGTTCCAACTTTGTTCCTGAGTTGTGTTCTTACTTCATCAAATTTGGTCACCATTAGACATGTGAAGACCTGGTTGTGGGTTAGCTAGATAGGCTTAGGACATGATTTTTGGACACATTAGCTTGTCATGTCTCTCTCTGTATGATAAAAATTACTAGTAGGTGTTATTGTTGGTCCTTGATGTGATTAATAGCATGGATTACAAAAGGCATATTTGCTTAGGGTCACTCACCAACCTTTTGCCAGTTTAGCAGCTTCCAAATGATGGAGTCTTTTGGATTGATTCAACCAAATCAGATGTAATCTATCTTAGATAGATTTTAGAATTCGTCTCGTCATCAACGTGGCATACATTGACTCTCTTCAGATCCCGTATTAATAAGAGTTTACGGAGAAATGAGTTTATAGTATTCCAAATGGTTCTAAATGAATGGCTCAAGTATGCCTTCTCCAATTTAATGTGATTAGATCATATGGATCAATCACTAAGGCTCAAGTATGCCTTTCTTTGATAGAGATCTGTGAGCTAATAAGAGGATCACTTGTGAAATTTTATGGCCACATTAAACTCAACCATGAATTGAGTTGAATCATCCTGAGGTCCTCTTGGAGTCCCCTGTATCTGAAACAATCCATGCTTCAATCAAAACAAAACAAAGAAGAAAGATGCATCTGCCTCTTGTTTCAGATGGTGCAGGATGATCTCTTTCTTCTCCTAGACTACAGTCATTTGGTTTTTTCTGGCAGAAGAAATTGGCAGGACTGATGATGGATCAAAATATTCAGCTAAAAACAACCAGCAAAATCTCTCAGATCATATTCTGAATGAAAGAAGATCAAACAATTATTATACTTATTTCTGAAGAATGAATCAAATGAGACCATCAATTCCAAGTTCACTGACTCCACTGCATGGTGCAGTTGAAGAATGCTAGTGGAAACAAGTCTCTTTCAGATGGTGCCATATGGTCCTCTTCTCACTTCACATGCTGTTACCACCATTCCTGCACTGTCTGCAGAACTCATAATGGCACATGATAACTTGGTGACCCAAAAACAATAATTTGGCATAATTAGAAACTCAGAAACAATGATTTGTGAATGCTTATGCTTCTTCTTCCAATGGTTATCAGAAATGTCACTCCAGTTGTCTGTATGCAGCTTATAGAATAGAAACTTCAGCTAATAAACATACAGCCAAGAAAATTTGTTGTCAAAAAATGTGTGGCACACACAAATTACATGATCAAATGACCAGAATTTCCAGTTCCAGTTCCATATATAATGTCTTTTGTGGACAACATAATAATCAACTTGCTGTGGTACTTTAAATGAAATGAGACTTCTTCTTCATCTCTCTCTCTCTCTCTCTCTCTCTCTCTCACACACACACACACACACACACACACATACAGAAAGAATATCATCTTATATGTTGTATATGATGGAGTTCTTTTCATCTCCCTAAAGAAGTGAGAAGAGACAAGAGCATTGCTCCACCTCACAGAAGACAAAGGTGGCACATGGCAGTGACCATTTCACCAAAGCAGGTGGGATACTCCTAGCTACCATGTCGCTGGCCTTGCTACAAAAAGACACTGCACTCATACTCCATTCACTGGCCTCTCAAAGTCTCCACAGCAGCTTTAAACAGGAAGAAATCCATGACCTAAATATACTGCAAAATTCTCCAAATCATCCTCATTGGCCACCCTGGTTTTGAACTTTGTTGCATCAGTTTATTGACCTCTATACTTTAGATAGTCACTGAAAGAGATAAGCTCCACTGACACCTGCTCCATGAAACAGGAACATTTCTTGAGATATCAGTCCCATCTTTCATAAAAGAAAATCTTATCACATTTTTCTTTCTATCATCCTGACACCATCTTAGTTTTATTTAGTTCTGCTGTGCTGGTGGGAACCTTCCAAGAGGCAGTCAACAGAGGGCACAACCTGATTCTCTATGTTCATGCACACATTTGAAATAATATACACATGCATAAACAACAAATATATTAGCTGTCCCCAAGGCCAAATCTACCACTATATTGATCTATCTATTTGTATTCAATGACTTCTATTTCATGGGATGAAGTTAAATTGCAGGGATTGAGAAGCAACTTGACTGGGTTCTCTTGAAGTGCATGAGAAATATCTAAATAGCAGCTACTTCAGCACTACTGACTTCTTTATACAATTGTAAAGCTACTTGACTACTTTCTTGAACATAATCTTTATCCAGGATCAACTCGACTAGATTCTGCATCTGTACGATCTGATCCTATTCTGTTCATGATCACATCTAATATAAGTGGATACAAATATGAGGGCTTCTCTAGTATCCAATCCCTAATTCATCAGTTTGTATCCTCCTGGAGTATATAACCAACCATCTTTATGGCATTGGTTCAGCATGGTCTTCCTCGATTGCTGTTTCTTTTGCTTTGTGTGATGAGTTGTGTCTCCTTTTACATCTCTCTAAAGAAGTGAAAGAGAAAAGTGCATCCTTACAGGCACTTGATCACAAGCAAACAAACAAACAAAAGAGCAGCTGATGGTTGCCATTGGTTGTGGTAGATCCCTTCTGAGCCTGGCTAATGTGGCGCTGGCCATGTTCTCAAGCTATCGATCCACAGCGAATTTATTAGAATATCCTGAAGACCTGTGCCTAAGAAGATGAAGAATCTAATGTGAACTGTACTGTCATCTTGTAGAGTGAAGCAGCATGAGAGCACCTCTATTTTATCAGCTACAGTCCTTCAAACACTTCAGTGAGAGATTACACATGACCGAAACAAGATGAATGCCCAACAATGGAAGGAAATAGAGCCTATGATCGTTGATGACATAGCTGTTAGTTCAACTCAGGTGTCAGGCTCAGAAAGTTCAGAAAAGCTGAGCAGATTTGATGACTGTTTGTGAAAGACATCCTTTTGACATGTCATTTGATGCCCTTTTTTTTCTTGCTGTTCTTTGATTGATTTGGAGGGAAAAATAAAGCAACACTTGTGTTCGTGTGCGCAAGTGGAACACTGTACAAAATAATAAAGAAGAAAGATTAAGCTGACATGCAAACATAAACAAGAAAAGTTTACATGCTTTGCTTTTCCTTCAGCTTTTTACTGACCTCATGAATCCAGATCAACCCAAATGGTATCCATCTGTACCTGTCTCCAAGGCCACAAGCCACCCATGAAGGTGGAAAATATACATAGTAAAGATATGAGTGCTTGGAAGAAGAAAGTGATGATGTATACATACTGATGCATGCATGGTATTGTAACAAGGCTTGTTGTATTTTGGTATCCATTCTGTTGGCTGCCCGGTAGTCTTTTCTCACACAGTGAAAACCAAGATCAGCATACTACAGGAAGAGAAACTTCAGTGGCAGAGGTAAATGATTGAAGAACAGAGGAACAGGTTGTAAGTGCTCAATTGTTCTTGTCAGTATTCTCAATGAGAGGCAAAGGGTTTGTGAGCCTTCCCAGGACTCTGCAACTCTGATCTACTTTGTCCTCCTTTCTTTCCCTCACTCCAAGGCACTGGCTGTGGTCCATGGTGCATGATAAAGTTGCATCCCTACCCCAATGTCCATTAATCATAAGAAGAAGTTCTAATATTATTGGTTACATGCAGCATGGGATGACCCTACATTTGTTGGGTTCTTAGGGGATTCTGATACTTGATAATGGTGTGAAAGTTAAACTGGCAGTACTCTAAAATATGTGACTCTGATTGACTTCTCAAGAAATCAACAAAAGGTGTGGATTATATGCATTTGCTTCTCTCTCTCTCTCTCTCTCTCTCATCAAAGTAATTAGAGATCTTCTTCTTAAAGAGAGAGTAATTCTACATGGAAGGTTTTCTGTTCAAGGAAAAAGATCATTACTCTACCTCACAAGATCATTTAGTGGTTGTCATTTCAGACACTGACTTATTGAATGCTATGTTACCACTTCTGTAGCAGCTGAAGAAAAGAGAGAGAAAAGCAAAAGCCCAGAAAGAGAAAAAAAAGAAAAGAACTACAGCTTTACAAGTCAGATTACTGCACGTCGTTGCCTTTAGGATAGTGTCAAGGCTTAAAATAGAAGAAGCGAAGAGAAGTTGACCAACCTCACATCTTTGTGGTAGCACACGATTAGTGTGATCCATTTCTTGAATCAAAAGTCAACACCCCGAGCAAATCGTTTCTTCTCTTGTGCATATCCCTCTGCGCATAATCTGCTCGAGGTTTGAGGAAGACGTAAATTGAAATCTCTTGCTGCAGTGTGCAGGTGCTTTGAGACATGCAACAATGCTGTTTCCAGCGTCTCTGATGTCCCACGACCCATTGCTTTCTGTTCATCATCTTGTAGATGAACAGTGCTATGGCCCATCTGAATGACCCGAACGCCACCACCACCATTACAGGAACAACAAAAGAAATCCACTGTTCTTGACATCATTTTCCTCGGGGCTTGAAAGCTTATGATGTCGAAGTTTCCCTGCAGCCATTCCTTTCATCAGGGTTAAAAGCAAGTGATGAAGACCCTTCCGGAGGACTCCGACAGGTGTCTGTGAATTAGGAATCGCCTTCACTTCGTGCATTTACTCGCATCCTCTGTTCACTGTAAGCATTTACTCGATTCCCCTACCCTCCTCTTTACTTGTTTCTTTTCCCTTCTCTGGTTTCCTGCTCCCCTCTTCTTCAAAGCACAGCCCATCCACACTCTCTCCACTCTCTTATCTTTAGTCCAAAAAGCTAATCTTATTCAAAGATTCTGTCAATCTCTCTTTGTTTCTTTGTCCTTTTCGAATTATATATTGCGCATTGGTTGTAAATGCCATGACAGTGGTACCAGTGGCGGACGAAGGAGAAGAATAAGTAGTGGTAGTGATAGAAGAAGAAGCGGTAGCTATATGGGTTGCTCGTCGTCGAAAGTGGAGCAGCAGAAGGCCGTGGCCGTCTG